CTATCACTCATCAGACACATAGTAAGCTTTCCTACTTTGTTGTAAAGTCTCCCCTTCTGTACTTGTGTGGTTGGTTTGGGAGCCTAAAAGTAGGATTTTGTAGCCAACACTATTAGATTTTATATTATGTTCAGACAAAGGCTGTAGACAAACTCAGGGACAAGCATCCTCTATCCTAAGAAGTTACCCATAACTGTTTATGAGCATCTGGGGAGAAAGGGGACTGTATTCCAAGAATGCCACTCAAATACTTTCACCGCCTCTCTAGAATCGCTGAACAGAGCCAGCTACTTGGAAAATCTATTGTCTTTAAGTCTCTGGCTCCTTTAAACAATCTTCCTGGTTGATCAGATGTCATTTTCTATGGAATACTTGTAACATCCCTCTCTCTGCTATAGAAAAATCAGTATCTATATTCAGCTCTGGTAGCGTAGTGGTTACGAATCGGGCTGTGAACCACAAGGTCAGCAGTTTGAAACTACCAGCGGTTCCGCGGGAGAAAGATGAGGCGTTCTGCTCCCGTAAAGATTTACAGCCTCGGAAATCCTGTGCAGGGTCGCTATGAGTCGGAACCGACTCCACGGCACTTAACAACAACAACATATTCAGCTTAAGGAGCTCTGGTAGTATAGTGGTTACAAATCGGGCTGTGAGCTGCAAGGTCAGCAGTTCGAAACTACCAGCTATTCTGTAGGAGAAAGATGCGGCTTTCTGCTCCCGTAAAGATTTACAGCCTCAGAAACCCTGTACAGGGTCGCTATGAGACGAACCGACTCCACAGCACATCACCACCACCACCACCATATTCAGCTTACGTGTGTTTTAGTTAACATTATGCTTCTTTCTCTATTAAAACAAATGGCTGTGTTTCTCTGAAGAGCTCAGTAATCGTACAGTAAGAATTTAGTTTCTTAAAGGAAACTTTTCTGCTCCCTTTGTGAATGTCTGTATGTCTTGTCAGTTTCCTTTTCTAAATCCACTCCTCACTCCAGCTGAGAGCAGTAAACAAATACACTGCTAGGTCAGGTGACAAGAATACTAATCAAACTTTTACCATCTTTGACAATGAAACCAGCCCACATTTATACCCATTGATGTCCCTTCCCTGTGGCCTTCAACAAAAGTCCTAAGTTCAAACATGGAGAGTATATTACGTCTTTTTAAGTTTTAACAAGGAAGGAAGATAGTAAAATGGTCTCCAAATTTTCCTGGCTCAGATTTTTATAATGCGGATCTAAATTTATGCTTTGTCTTTTAAGACTTACAATTCTCGACAAGTCAGATTCAAATGTGTTCAAAGACAAAATAAAATAATTATCTGATTGGTTAAATCAATTAGCCAGTCTACATAATTAAGACTCTTCTACTCTTTCAGGTAGTTTTTCTCAGATCATTATCTACATAAAATCTACAACTTTCCATTTCATTTTACCCAAGAAGAAATATGTTATTTAGAAAAAACCTTATGGATATAATATCAAAGGTTTTCCATATACTGCTTTAGGGGAAGAGGGAACTTTTACCACTACCTTTTAATTTTTCCCCACTGTAAGGGTTGTGTGTAAATAGCCTATTAAATGATTTACTATATGTGTACAGGCACTAGATGAATGATTGTTTCCACATTGTAACAATGAGTCGATTGCAAATCTAAGAAGTTAACAACAACAAAAAATAAACAACTAAATTAATATCAAACAAATGAATCATGTTAAAAGAGCCAAAATGATATTTCACTTGCATAATTACAGATGTGTTGATCTTACTCTTTCAGAGAGTGAAGTAAATATTGAGAACTGATGAGGGCCATTGCTTTCATCAGTTATTAACATTTTTATAGTGTAAAGCTTAACTTTGGCTGTTCAAGCTGAAACTTAATACAAGTTTACTTGGACAGTTCATTTTCCTTCTTTAGTGTACTGGAACAAAAATTTAAATGCTTGGGCAAAAAAAAAAACTGTTGTTATAAAAATTGCATATTCTTAAAAGAAGAACTAGCAAATGCCTTAAATATAAAGGATTACTGTGCAGATGTAAGCGTATCATGATTATTTATGTAAAATCTTTATTGACAGCATAATTCCAACATTTCATTATTATTTTTTTGCCAACAGGAATGAGCATTGTAAACCAAAAAAAGATACACGTTTTAGAATTAAAACTAATAATATGAAGCACCAGACTTTATTAAGTACACTTGCGGCATTTCTAAGCTATTTTAAAATTCCAACGTTAGAAATGCACATAAGCCAAGTGCCATATTCTCTAGCCTCGGTCTGAGCTATGCTGACTTTCTGCTTGTACATTAAAAACAAAACAAAACAAAACAAAACAAAAAAACACTAACAGAATTTTATGAGAATCTAGAGACAGACAGGAGTTCTAGTGTGGCACTGCAGGGCAATGCATTGACTACAGCCTAGGTTTGAACCACCTGGTCCAACTTCTCCTCGGAAACCCTATACAGGGTTACCATGAGTCAGACCAACTGGACAGCACTTAACAACAAAGAGACAGACAAAGGAGCTGTGGCAGTGTAGTGGATTATGAGCTGGTCTGCTAATCACAAGGTGAGTAGTTTAAATCTACCAGCTGCTCCCGCAAATAGTTACAGCCTCGAAAACCTTATACAGGATCTCTATGAATCAGAACTAACTCAGTGGCACAAAACCACCACCACCAGAGATAGAGAGTGCAGTGGTTTTGTAGAATTAGCACTGGAATGTGAACCACAAGGTTAGGTGTTCAATTCCACCAGCTGCTTCGAAAGAGAAAGATGAGGTTTTCTCTTCTCAGCAGATTCAGTCTCAGAAACACTATACAGGGTCACCAAGAGTCAGCGCCAACTCACAGACACGTAACACAACAACAAACAAAGATAGACACAACACAATTTACAATATTACGTTAAAGATACAACGCAGGAAGGACTGAGAAACAGATGGAGGAAAATGAGACGTGCTTATGATAATTTTTCAAGCAATTGAGAAGAAAAAGTTATCTAGCAAAAATGTTAAGAATTAATTTTATGTCCTGTTTATTAAAATGGCTCAGGCATTAGACTATTTTTAGCTTAATGACTCTTAAAACACCACTATAAAATAATTATGCACAGTCACATATGTGTGAATGTCCACCTGTGACATGGAGTTTTTTTAAATCATTTCCACTTACCTATAATGCAGTGCCTGAGATTTAACAAAGTAACAGGCCACTGTCACATTAACATGAAATTAACTAAGTGTGGGACCTCTTTTAATCTCCATCCCTGCAATGCAACACCAAAGGTTTAATTCTACACACGTCACTGTGATAAGGTATCAGATATTTGGAATTTAAGTCTTTACTCCAGAAGTCTTTTCCTGATACCTTAATATATGGTGATAAATGTCTCCTTAATTTGCACAACAGATTTCAATTGCCCTCATAGGAGACCACCTTGAAGGAGCGAGTAAAAGGTTTAGTCATGGTTTCTATTTTTCTATTTGAATTCAATACATTCTAGTTAAATGGGCAATTAATAGGTCACTTCCAAAATAGTAGTGTATCAGTCCTGGTTAATAAACAATCCCCACAGTTGATAATGGGCCTTATGTATTCAGCAAGTCCCTGTATAAACTCAGCTCATCCACTAAATTCCTTTTCAGGTGGACAGGGTTATATGGGAAGATGAGCTAGAATGAGTCTATAAAAGTCAGTTCCATTCACTGCTTTATTTTTCAGTCAAGTGGTTTAAATGGTGTCCAGAAATTCACTTGGAATGTGAGACAGGAGAAAAGACTGACACACAGAGTCTTGCTTTATGACCATACAAAAGGGCAACTGACCCTTGCCCAAGCCTTTTCCATGTGAAATGGTTCCTAAAGTTCATCCGCACAGTGAAAAATCGTGGTGAGGTCGCGTGTGGATGAGTCAAGTGAAAGTGAGGATTGGTCACGGTTCTTTCATCCTTTGTGACCAGGCCCCCGCCATGTAAAGTGCTCTGTGGGAAAGTGCCAGCCCCCTAAAGAGATGCTCAGAAGCTCGCAGCTCATTAAACGGCCAGCATTTGCTGCCTCACTTGTTTGAAATCATTCTGTAGAGCAACTGCTCTCCTGAAATGTTCATAAAACACAGGCACAGAGGTAACAGGAATCTAAATTCAAGCAAGATAGACCTGGGTATTTTAGCATGACTCCACACCGATTTTACTTTTCACCTGACAGAGCTGTTAACCTGAATAAATGCTTTCTCTTGAGCAGCTGAAATAAGTACACCCTCCACTAGATTTTTGTATCATAAACTCAAATTATCTGCCTACATCTTTTCTTACCTGACCTAGAAATCTCAAAACTAAGGTGAATTTTTATTTCCCTTTAGTCCATATTTTCTTCTGCCAGGACCGGGGGCACATGCCACTGCAAAGATTTTTGAAAGTTGGTCTTTCTTATCCTATCCCAGAAACTTATAATTTTGCTTTTATATTGTTGGAAGAAAAAAAATCACTTGAAAACACTTCTTAAGACTATGCAGCTTTGGTTGGTTTTCTTCAAGGTGGCAGAGAGGTATTTATCTCTTTTTAAAATGTTAACAATTTTTAATTATTCTCTATAGACATTTAGTCACTTTCTATGTCCTATTTTAAGCTGAGTGGAAATTTTACATAGCACAATTTCTTAGCCTTTCCTTCCTTTCTTTTTGCTTCTTGAACAAGTATTGATACACATTTCAAAAGGAGCCAAACTAGTCTCTCTGAGATCTTTTATATCAAATAGAAAACAAGTAGCTTTCCTCGGTGCGTCAGCCTGGGTTTCAATGCCATTAGAAACATTGCACAATTGCTCAGTGTGCTAAGGTTTGATAAATCTCTGGAAACCTCCTGAATAGGACTGCTGTGATTTTTAGTGAGGAATTAGCTCTTTGCCATTGCATTACCAATTAGTTTTCCAGAGCACATTAAATCCTGCTGCTTTTGGTTTACAGAATAACTGAGGCATTGCTGATGAAGCATAAAAACTTACTTGGAAAAGCAGTGGGGGATGCAGGGCGCCGACAGGACCCACCGCAGCACGCTGAGTAGAATGGTGGAGGAGCGCTCAGAAAAAAAGGCTTGGAAGACGCTGCAGAGAAAGCATGGATCTCATTGATTATCCCTTTAGACAATTTTCAAAACCTCAGTTTCCTAAAAGGTATTTGAGTAAAAGTACGTCATTTTCTGAGTGTTTAATTAGTTAATTAGTGAGTTATAACTTTTACTGAAGTTAAAATCATTTTAAAGGAGGCTTTTTCTGTCCAAGAGCTTGCCAAATCATTTTATCACAATCTGGAAGATGTGGTGGAAAGAAAGAAATGATCAAACACCAAACTTACTACTCATTCTCAGTGAGGCCATAATCATAAAAATTAACTCTCGATTCCTTTATTTGAAATCTAACTCACCACTGTTCCACAGAACTATCTGCAATAATGGAAATGTTCCATATCTGTGCTGCCTATTATGGGCTCCATTAACCACATGTGGCTCCCAAACACATGAAATGTAGTGCGTATGACTGTGTAACTGAATTTTTCATTTAAATTCACTGAAATTTAAATAGACACATGCTTAGGGACTATCATATTAAATAGCAAGCTCTGGTTATTATACTTTACCAAGAAACAATCTGAATGTTATATGCTTATGTTTCATTTCTTAAAGAGATTCTATCTCTACACTGTTTATTTTCAGAAAGTATTTTGAGATCTATAACAAGTTGGATTCCAAAGCTGGTAACAGTTCTCCTATTAAGCAACTCCCTAACAAAAACTGATGACATTTAATGTTCAATGCTAATCACAATTTATCTTAAGAGAAATCTATTTCATCTGAAAACATTTGTGTTTTTAGTTATGCAGAGTTGCCACATAATTATGTTCTGCCCATTTTGTTAAAACTTTGCTATTAAATGAAAATTTCAATAGAAACACGAAGAATAGTTGTCACCACTCTTACAAAGGAGTCCTGGTGTGCCATTGTAAACTAATGCGTCAGACTGCAAAGTCGTTTCAACTGCAAGGTCAGTGGTTCAAGCTCACCAGCTGCTCCTTGGAAACCCTATACAGGGTCACTGTGGGTTGGAATCGACAGCACTAACAACAAAAACTCTTACAAATGCAGTAACTGAAAATAAAACTCCTTTCCTCAGAAGATGAAATATGAGTATAGTATGAAGGATGGCACAGAACATTAATAGTTTCCTTTTTTGAGAATTTACTATAAGTTAGGGTTTAGTTAAGTGACTTAAATACACCATGCCTGTTAATACAATGGGTTTCATAAAATGTTAAGTATTAGTGGAGATTTCCTGAAGGTGGGCACTACCATAACATACGCAGCAGAGTGCCTGGCACATCATAAGTAGTCAATATATTTTCAGTAAATGAAGAAATGATCTGTAAAACTAAGAAACAGGACACTTTTACTGCTGTTCTTAAGTATGAGGATCAGGAATGACCCCCTCCCCTAATTCCTCCTTAAATACCCGGTAATATGGTACCTTCCAGAACAGATAGCTTTGAAATCTTGGGCATGGCTTGAAAATATTTTCACTATTCTGTCTTCATATTCAAGTGGCAACTTCTTTTCTTTTCTTAATCACATAAAATCAATACTATTTTGATTCGACTACATACTTTCTTCAAGAACACGGTAATTAGCCATCAACTAAGAAGCGTAACTTTATTGTCGCCAATATCTTTGAAGGATATGTCCAAATAAGTGAACTGCCCCAAAAGAATTTCATAATATCTGTCAGAAATGCCTTAAACTTAAACAATAGTTATAAATCCTATATTAACTGGAAAATTGTCAACATTAATCTCTTCTAATTTTTCATAACTGAATTTTCAAAAAAAGGTCTGTTTCAACGCTGTTTTGAAAATATGATAACCAAGCAGAGGTATCAAGAAGACCCATTTTTGCATAATAATTTTTCAACAAGTTTAGTTGCTAATCTAAGTTGTTCTAACACTATTACAAAAATCATAAAAATGATACAACATTTTGTTTTAAACATCATAAAAAAATTTACAACAGTATGACTTTTAGTCATATTATTTCTATGAATATATGAAGAATTTTGAAAAATGAAAATACATTTCTAAGCATAAAAGTTGCTCCAATATTATTTATTCACAAACATTTCTGTATTTCAAACTTATTTCAACGCCAAAATGAACACTTTACTGATACTAAAGTTGTAATTCCCACATTGTTTCATATTTTAAATATAGAGGTAGAGGGGGGAGAAAAAAACACAAAAATTCAGCAGTGTTTTATTTACATAAATCTATATAAAATTTTAAATATTTACATGTTACCTGGAAACACAGAGAAATAGTTTTGCTAAATCTAGAATATGAAAAATAAGATAGTACACTAGTTGTCATTGTTGTTAAGTGCTGTTGAGTAAGTCAGTCTGACTCGTTGTTGTTGTTGTTAAGTGCCGTCGAGTCGGTTCCGACCCATAGCGACCCTGTACAGGGTTTCCGAGGGTGTAAATCTTTACGGGAGTAGAAAGCCTGATCTTTCTCCCGCGGAGCAGCTGGTAGTTTCGAACTGCTGACCTTAAGGTTCGCAGCCCGATTCATAACCACTACGCTACCAGAGCTCCTTAGTCTGACTCATAGGAACCCTGTATAATGGCGTTTCCAAGGAGCAGCTGGTGGGTTTGAATTGCCAACCTTATGGCTCACAGTCTAGTGTTGACCCTATAGTACCACACCACGAGCGATGTTTTTGTTGTTAAGTGCTGTCCGGTGGATTCCAACCCACAGCAACCCTGTATAGGGTTTCCGAGGAGAGGCTGGTGAGCTAGAAGCGCCAACCTTTCAGTTCAAATTGACCTTGCAGTCCAGTGCATTAACCCACAGCGCCACACCAGGACTCCCCAGGAGAGTGGTAGATAACGATGCAGGATTTGTATAAATTACAAATATTCTGAATCTCTCTGAAATGTTTTTCAAATAGGTTTAAAAATGAAAACAAAAAAAATTTTTTTTAAATGTTTGGTTAATTTGAGATAAATGATCAAATGTAAACTCATCTGTGATAAGTGAGGTTCTGAGACGTATGATCTTAATGATAAATTTAATCCGAAATATTGTAATAATTGAGCATGAGGATCCTGTTCCTATTGTTATACCAGGGTGCTTCAAAAAGTTCATGGGAAAATTCCATTATCCTTTTATTACATTCATCCACTAACTTTTTGAAGCCCCTTAGTATTACTCTATCTTAATATAGTGATGCTATTATCAAAATGGCACATTATCTACAGTAACAACTTCTGTTTTTGCTCAAGAATTAGTTTTTACATTTTGCGACACAATCAGGCTTAGAACTCTATTGTTAGTCTCTTTGTTCTAAATCACCTCTTTGACATACATATATTTACACAGAAGATAAGTCAATTCCTGATTGCTATACATAAATATACCTTGTTTAAACTGGTTTATGTGGAAATTGCTGTGAAATTCCAATTAAGTGCTCCTTTTTATTTTTTTTTAATGTGCTTTTACTTTGACATAAATCAAATGCTAATCCAGCTAAGCATGCGACAGCAGCAGTGTTGAGTAGCTTCAGAAAGTAACCATTTAAAACAATTCAGTGCATTAAATATCTAGGTTTGTTGTTGTTGTTAAGTGCAGGTTAAATGTTTGTAAATAACATACTTTCTGAAGCAATCAAAGTGGAAAGTCAAGTTTGGTCAAATAAAGCAACAAGTAGAAAGATGTGTTAAAACTTTTGTAATCCATTAAGAACTAGTTGAAGACTTCCTGAAAAGGGCAGAAAACAAGGCAATTTCACCCTAGATGATATGCATTTCAAAACTCATCAATGCTATCTTGATGCCATTATTTTATCATTTATCATGTTAGCAATGATTCATTATAGATTTACTGAATCATATTGATAATAATAATAATGTTTAGGGAGTGACTGTCATTCCTGGTGTGGCGCTATAGGATAAGCACTGGACTACAGGGTTGGTTTGAATCACAGGGTTGACAATTCAAACCTACCATCTGCTCCTTGGAAACCTTATAAAGGGTTGCTATGAGTCTGAATCAACTATACGTCACTTAACAACAACAAAAACTTTATGTCAGGCACTGTACTTACTAGCTACATGTTTAATATACTGTTTCATTCACTCATTAATAAATGTGATATTATCAATGGGCTTCAAATGGGCATGCTTCTGGACTGTGATAATGACTGCTTTCAGCAAACTGTAAAAAAAAAAAGACCAGAGAAACAATAAATATTTTAGTATGGTGGTGGTGGTGGTGGTGTGCCGTGGAGTCGGTTCCAACTCATAAAGACCCTGTATAGAGTTTCCAAGGCTGTAAATCTTTACAGGAGCAGAAATCCGTTACTAGTTATGAGGGGTAGGAGTTTCAAGCACAGAGACTCTTGATCAGTTATGCTATAAGAGCTGAAAACTGCTTTTCGTAAGAGAAAAACAGATGGCCTTCCTATGGAAAAACAACAAAAAACCCCACATTTGTCAGGTTTTAACCAGCCACTCCTTGGAAACCCTACACAGGGTTGCTTCAGTCGGAACCAACTCGACGGCACGTAACAACAACTGTTTGTGAAGGATCCCTGGTAGTGTAGCAGGTTATCAACTGGACCGCTAACTGCAAGGTCAGAAATTCAAATCCACCAGTCACTCAGTGGAGAAAGGGGAGGCTTTCTACTCCCATAAAGGCTTTCTTGTTCTTAAGTGTCGTCAAGTCAATTCTGACCCATAGTGACCCTATGTAGGGTTTCCAAGGAGCAGCTGGAGAACTTGAATCACCGACCTTGCAGTTCAAACGGCTATGCAGTCTGGCGCATTAATCCACAGCGCCACAGGAAGGAAATCTTGGTCATGAGTTGGTATGAGTCGGAACCAACTAGCACACAACCACCACCATGACTGCATGTGAGTCCTGGTGTGGTGCTATAGGATGAGCACTGGACTGTGAATAGCAAGTTGGTGGTTCAAATCCCCCAGCCACTCCTCGGAAATCCTATGCAGAGTCAGAACTGACTTGAGAATATTCAGCAACAGCAACAACTGCTTGTGAGGGA